ATATGCCCCTCAAGTATCCCCCAAGTTTCGATGGACGCATAGTTTTATATCCTAGTAGTACCGAAGTAATGGACTATTTCTCGTGGAGACAAACAGATAGTGAGTATGTTATTCTCGCATAGTTTCATTGTGCTCAACCTCGTGGAGCACATATTAACAACCTGTACAATACTACGTTCTGGGCCCTAGTTCAACAAGGCGAGAAGACTCCCACCCAGGCACACGAAACTCTTCGTGTAAGTATCTTCCATTCCCTGTGTTTTATCTAAACGAAGGCTTTAGGGAACGGTATCAAGTCAGAAAAATGAAATTCTATTCAATAATTTTGAAATAAATTACAACGAAATCGACTCTCGCTTTCGTAAAGGGAGTGTTTTGGTTCGAGAAGTAAATGCCATCTATCATTTATATTTTATTTACTGAACTCGACTTTTCAGGTGGTTCCTCCATCGTTATCAGCAGAAGGTAAAAGTTCCGAGGCAGATATCGCTGGCAGTGTTTCCGCGAAAACATTGAAACCATCTAAGAAACCGAAGCCGGTTTACAAAATTACTGTTTGCCATTGTGACATAATTGGGAAGAGTTTCTGGGAAGAACATCCTTATCTTCTTGAAAGTTAATTTGTACCATAACCGAATAAAATTGTAGTCCTAAGTCAGAAAGAGATGTAACGGGCGGATAATCCGAAGGGGATCACCGCTAGAAGGGGTGAAAGAATATCGTTTGCCCTCACCATCCCCGAATTCATTTCTAGGCAGAATAAAAAAATCTGTCTAAAGCATTCTCGACGTGATTCATTTTTTCCTTTCCAGCCATCTTCCCACATTTATAAACAAACGAACTGATGTTGAATACATTCTGCACAAGCCGGGGTAGAATATTTATAGTGCTATCGTCGCACATAGATATCCAGAACATGAAGAAATATCATTACTTTGAAGTGTATCCTAAACAACAATTGACCATGTACAGTTATTTATATGCGCAATCACTTTTGTATATATAATCCCATGTATCTGGCAACATCCAGATGCCTAATTCCCATTAAAAGATACTTACCAATCCACTCTTGCACAATTCTTTCATGTTCATCGACGGAGGCATGCTGTAACCGGTGCCCGCCCAAGAGCGCCTCCCTAGAAAGAGCTAGAGATAACCATTCCACAAGTATTTCAACAAACGGTGAAAAAGCGGGAGAAGGTAGGTCTCTCAGAGGGGGGTCGCATTTTTTGTGCTCCGTTTGTTCGCTGAGAGCAAATTGTTGCTGAAAAAGTCTATAGAGGAGCCCAAGCTTCCTCAGGAGTCTAGCTATAGACAAGTCATAAGATTTCAAATGATACCAATAATGATCTTCGTGGTCACTGAACCGTGCGTTGCGAAGTTTCATGACGGATAATATGGCCCAAAACAGTACCCATACGAATGCAATGGCAGAATGAAAGGTCGCTTGGTCCAACAATCCACAAGACATGAATAGAGGTGCCCTATTTATATGATAATAATACATACCGAGCACTGTTTAGCACGGTCCCGTCGATCAATACCATCCCAATTTATTGCTAGGTCCCCATCAGAGATAAAACCGGTGCATTTCTTGAAATACTTTTCAAGGATATCTTGGGTTAAAATATCCTCAAATCTAAACAGGATCAATTAAATTCAACACACAACTAAATATTGATAACTGTACCCGTTAATTCTTTTACGTATTTTGGGTGTTTTCATCAGTAGTACATTTCCAATGCTGACGTCTCGATGAAGCCAACGCCTCCTAAATATCACCGAGTAACCTTCAAGACAAAGTTGCAAAGCCTAGCACCGCTATGAATGAATGAGACCGACCTATCATGGCATGTAAAACCGCTTGAAGCAATTGTTTTGGGCCACTGACATTCTCTAAAGGAACACCTTCTGTACTTATAAGCAGCCGAACATGAACACGTCGCTCAGGCTCATCCAATCCGACCATTTGTGGATTACTCTCTGCTTTGGTTCACCGTCATCCCACATGACCGGAAGCAATTCTCCCTCGTACTGAAACGTTGAAGCAGTGTCAGATACTTCGTCTTTCGAATTTGTTACCGGAAAACTGCCTAGGACGATAGGTATGCCAAATTCTTGATATCTCTCATTTTCATGCTCATCTCCGTCGTCACCCTCACTTTCGTCAGTCTCATCGGCTTTGCCTTCGGTATTTTCGGCGATCCTAAAGACTTCGCCTTCCTGTTTTTTCCCGAGAGACGACAAGTGGCCAAGCATCCTTCAAGATTAACATTTTGTATTTAGGATCAGGCGATACATTTAGAACGGGTAATTCGGACGGGGAGGGGTCCACTACCCCACGACCTTTCGAATAGGCCAGATGCTTTTCGGCGGTACAAGCAGAAAATCGATCTAGTCTATATTTTCTGATTGTGTTCCGACCACTAATAACCGGAACGCTTGAAAGGGGGTGCTGGAAGTGGTAACTTTTGAATCTAGTAAGGAAACCCCTCCTTGTAATTGCTTCAACGGTTGCTTGGTTAGTATGTTTATTCTGACCTTGGATTCGCTATGATATGCAGTCGTTCTGCACGGGGGGTTCTACATGTCGCATTGAGTTGGCGTTACGTCACTCCCAGAATGGTGACTAAGCGTGTTCTAAGGTTGACTATGAAGTGCTGTTATTGTTATCCGGAGAAAGTTCGATAACTGTCGGTTAAAAATGGAGAAGTAATGAGAAGATAATAAGGCTCATTTAGTTGGAAGTCTAGCTGGCGATGTCGGAGACCTACTTGAAGATTCCCACCATTACGCTGTACCGGAACCGCTATGCTGAAATTTCAAATGTCTGATTTTTGTGAGCGCTCGTTTTCCACATTATGAAACTTTTGACTGTGCCATATTTCAAAAAAGGGAAATTTACCTTCTTTCTGTAAATAAAATTAAAAATCTATTTTTGTTTTTTGGTAGGAAAAAGCTTTCAAAATAACTTCCGGGTTTGCGTACCACCACAGGTCTATTCAACTTCTTCCCGAGTCAGCGTTCACACGTTCACAGATTAAAAATACTATTCAAAGGATTGAGGTGGGTACTAGTGTCTGTCTTCTCTTCAACCCTCATATCTCTGACTTCACATTTATACATATGTCTGACATAAAGGCGACACTTCAAACTCTAATAGATAATGCAGTTAAAGACGGTGTTGCACCTGGTCTACAATGCGTTGTTTTCAACAGGGATGAGATCATATTCAACGGTGTCTCAGGATTTGCATCCTTACCATCTGAGGAGAATCCCGCAGGAGAACCAATGACAAAGTCGTCTGTTCTCTGGCTCGCCAGTTGCACAAAGCTCGTCGTCTCGTTAATCGTTTTGCACGTATTGGATAAAGGACTGATCGATGGAATATCAATTGGAGATTTGGATAATCCTGATGCGCTAGCGAAGATTGTTCCCGAATTTTCACCAGAATCAGGATCGTTGGTTACAAAAATTATCGAAGGTTTCGAGAATAGACTGGGTCCAGATGGGAGAAAAATCATGAAGCTACGAGATGCGAAGAATAGGGTTACTCTCAGACATCTCTTGACACATTCTTCTGGGATGGGGTCTCACATCAATGATCCTCTTTTGTGGGAATTGGTGAGTTAAAGATGTACCTTAACTTTACTATGTAATCGTTATCTCTAATCCTCTACTACTTACCAGGTCAATCCTTCAGACAAGAGTGTTCCTCATTTTAACCGTTCCTTGAACGGTTTTATTCGTGATTTTAGTTTGCCCCTTCTTTTTGAACCTGGAACGGAGTATCAGTGGAGTATAATTTTTCGAAACGGATTCCAGTACCGCAACTTATTCCAGCTCATAGTTACGGTATCTCAACAGATTGGTTAGGGCAATTCGTCGTACGAGGAACAGGAAAACATCTTCGACAACTCTTCCAAGAAATTCTTTTTGAACCTCTTAAAATTTCACCTGCAGATCTGTGGCTCTCACCTGAATTGTCAACTCATAAAGCTGTAATGTATGTCCGGAACAAGAATTCGCCTTATAAATTTCAAAACTTTACACTTGATATTTATTCCGCTGAGGATGGCCCCGAAGAAGGAATGGCATATTCTGCCGATGGAGGTTTAAATGCCAGTTTGCAGGCATATGCACAGATTTTACAGGCTGTTGTCAATAGGGACCCGAGGATCATGAGTGCCACTACGTGGGAGCTTGCTTTCAAAGACGATTTTGGACCCAGGTGTGAAAGTAACACGTCCGGATATCAAGTCCATGAGACATGAGATAATGTATGAGTGCGTATCATTCCCTATTAATGCACTCTCAAATCAAAAATGTTAAAGTATATCATAGTGTTGTAGAGTTTGCCAAGACAAACTCAGAAAATGGCACTGGAATGAATCTGCTACAGTGTAAAGTCGCACTTGTCCCCGTAAGGCTTAAAGTTCGTTTTCTTCTGATATAGATCAACTAAGTTTTTCAGACATTATCGGGTCGTCCTGTTGGATCGTTTGGTTGGGCAGGATTGCCAAATATCTATCATTTTGTAGACCCTGTTACAGGTCTCGGTTCAGTCATTGGTACACAAATGTTCCCATTTAATGATCCAGACATGATCAAACTTCGAGATCAGATCGAGAGTATTATTTTAAAGACTGGTAAACTGAAGGCCTAGGGCTCATGGATTCTTTTTATTGTGTATGGATAAATATGTTGGGGATAAATATAGGACCGGGAAAAGCGAATTGGATACATATCTCATCTAAATCTAAATAAGCAAATAGTCTTTTTTTACATCAATCAATTCGTTTTCTTTCCCCATCACGCCCGTTAATACTTGTGTTTCGTGATTTTGCGCCAGGTGCGGTCCAGCCGAAAAGGGGGGAGTCGGATGATAAGCCGAGGAGAACGCTATTTTCATTTAGACAAGTTCATTCGGACCTTCCCCACTCAAGGCGGAGTGAAGTGGAGTCAAAACGCAACAAGTAATAGTGTATGGTGTCGCAACTCGGATTGGCCAGGAATTGAACTGGGCCCTTCCCTGCTCTAGCGGGAGGTGCTACCACTGCACCACCAGCCCTGTTGAGTGCTTGACTTGTTAATTCCAACATATGGGGTCTAAATGCAGCATGGGTTATTTTTGGATCTAATTCAGGTGTGCAGTGAACGAAACACCAAAGGAACTGTTGCAAACCTTTTGGAGTCTGCACGCTTATTATAACGTCTCTCATAATGGTCTCAGTGCCCCCTTTGGTACGATCACTGCTTTTCGTCAATCAGGAGATTCTGCACTCAAAATTCTATATGGGAGTCAAACACAGTTTCCACTCTGAATTTTTTTGGAACTTATTCTTATTTTTTCGAGTGATGCACACTTCATCACAGAGTCTAGCTTCCCCCGTTTTGAGATATATAGAGTTGCTTGCGAGATACATGTATTTGGGTGATCGAGGCTTCTCGTTTTAAAAATTAGAAGTCTGACCAAACACACTGCTTGGTACTGACCCCCTTCTACGAGAAGCTATACGGTCATATTGAGGTGCACGTGGAGAGGTGTCTACCACACTATATAGCATATAGCTCGAGACTCGTCGTGTCGTTAATCATTTTTGCATTTATTTGAGATTTGCGCCTGAATTCTCACCAGAATCGGTATCACTGGTTACAAGGATTATCAAAGGTTTCGAGGATGGACTGGGTCTGCTGGGAGGAAAATCATAAAACTGCGAGATGCAAAGAATAGAGTTACTCTCAGACAACTCTTGACACATTCTAGATCTTCTGGCGTGGGCCCAAAATGATGATTAAGCATTAGGGCTCCTCACCGTACCGTAAACGGTTACGGCCGTAAAATTTACGGCTTTTTACGGCTGGGTCCGTACAGTATCCGTAACATGGTCTGATAGTAGTCCCATCGGAACGGATACAGTACGGAAACGGCCGTAAACGGCTATTGTACGGCATACGGCATATTTTTACAATATCTACAATATTTACAGTATCTATTCATCTTCGTGAACACCCATACAGCAATATACTTGACTAACATGACAATTTGTATGGTATCTAACCTCAACAAACAAAAATTCTGTCATTATCACCCGAAAAAATAGAATCTTGTGCATCCGATATCTTTGTATTAGATTAGAAAGACCGAAAAGCAACATTTACCTTGTTCCATGATTGAATATTACCAAAATATCACCGCTGTTATTATTATGGAATAGTGGCACGTGACTTTGTCCACCCTGGAAACCAACGCGTTTTGGATGAGTCAAAAGATTTCAAGAGCTTAATTTAATGTTCCGATTAGAAGACACTTAATCTCAAGGGTTTGAGACATTAAATATAGACAACAGCTGACCATTAGGCTTGGTTTACAGTGAAAAACCTTCAGATATTCATAAAATGCCGTAAGGCCGTAAAAACGGCTTTACGGCCGTATTTCTTACGGTCCAATACAGGTTCCAACGGCCCGTACCGTATTACGGCCAAACTTTCAAAAATGCCTGTCGGAACGATTACGGCACCGTTTTATGGTGCCCGTACAGACGGTCTATACGGCTACGGTGGGGAGCCCTACTAAGCATGTTCTAAATTTGACTATATCAAGTATTGTTATTGTTATCCCGCGAAAGTTCGATAATGACCAGTACAAGAAAGAGAGGTAATGAGAAAATAAAGCCCAATTAGCTGGAAGTACATAGAATGTGGTGTACTGGGCAATGTCGGACTCGACCACTTGAAAATTCCCACCATAGGTTTATTCAACTTCTTTCGGCGTTCACATGTTCAAGCTTCAAGTTCACAGATTACAAAGACAAAGACTATTTAAAGGATAGAGGTGGGTATTAGTATCTTCTCATATCTCTGACTTCCCATTCGTGCTATAATTGATATGTCTGACATACAGGCTACACTTCAAGCTCTAATAGATAACGCAGTTAAAGACGGTGTTGCACCCGGCCTACAATGCGTTGTTTTTAATCGGGAAGAGATCATATTCAACGGTGTTTCAGGATTTGCATCCTTACCATCTGAGGAGAATCCCGCAGGAGAACCAATGACAAAGTCGACTATTCTCTGGCTTGCCAGTTGCACAAAGCTCGTCGTCTCATTAGTCGTTTTACACGTATTGGATAAAGGACTGGTCGATGGAATATCAATTGCAGATTTGGATAATCCTGATGCGCTAGCGAAGATTGTTCCCGAATTCTCATCAGAATCAGGATCGTTGGTTACAAAGATTATCGAAGGTTTCGAGGATGGACTGGGTCCGGATGGGAGGAAAATCATGAAGCTACGAGATGCGAAGAATAGAGTTACTCTCAGACATCTCTTGACACATTCTTCTGGGATGGGTTTTCCCGTCAATAACCCTCTTTTGTGGGAATTGGTGAGTTAAAGATGTACCTTAACTTTACTATGTAATCGTTATCTCTAATCCTCTACTACTTACCAGGTCAATCCTTCAGACAAGAGTGTTCCTCATTTTAACCGTTCCTTCGACGGTTCTATTCGTGATTTTAGTTTGCCTCTCGTTTTTGAACCTGGAACGGAGTATCAGTGGAGTACAATTTTTTTTGAAACGAATCCCAGTACCTTAACTCATCCCAGCTCATAGTTACGGGTTTTCAACAGATTGGTTAGGGCAATTCGTCGTACGAGGAACAGGAAAACATCTTCGACAACTCTTCCAAGAAATTCTTTTTGAACCTCTTAAAATTTCACCTGCAGATCTTTGGCTTTCTCCTGAATTGTCAACTCATAAAGCCGAAATGCACGTCCGGAACAAGGATTCACCTTATAAATTTGAGAAGGTTCCATTTGATATTTATTCCGCTGAGGATGGTCCCGAAGAAGGAATGGCATATATAGCCGAAGCAGGTTTAAACGCCAGTTTGCAGGCATATGCACAGATTCTGCAGGCTGTTGTCAATAGAGATCCCAAAATCATGAGTGCCACTACGTGGGAGCTTGCTTTCAAAGACGATTTTGGTCCAAGAGGTGTGAAAGTAACACGCCCAGATATCAAATCCATGAAACGTGAGATGACGTACGAGTACGTACCAATTCCAATGTTACTCCTGAAATCAAAAACATTAAAATTTACCTTAAGCGTTGTGGAATTTGCCAAGACAAACTCAGAAAATGGCACCGGAATGAATTTGCTACAGTGTAAAGTCGCGCTTGTCCCGGTAAAACTTGGAGTTCATTTTTCTTCCGATGTAAATCGACTAACTTCTTTCAGACATTATCGGGTCGTCCTGTTGGGTCGTTCGGTTGGGCAGGATTGCCAAATATCTATTATTTTGTAGACCCTGTTACAGGTCTTGGTTCAATCATTGGTACACAAATATTGCCATTTAACGATCCAGACATAATCGAACTTCGTGATCGAATCGAGAGTATTATTTTCAGGACTCTAGTTAACTAAAGGGCTCGTGGATTCCTTGCTAGGAGATGGGATCGGGAAAAGGGAGTTGAATACATATCTCGTCTAGATCTGAATAAGTAAATAGTGTTTTTATACCAATCAATCCGATGTCTTTGTGCCATCACGTCCGTTAACACTCGCGTTTCGTAACTTACCCATGCTTCTTGTGTGTGAGGGAGACGGGGAAACTGATGATTGTGGAGAAGGAAAAGCGAAATCATTTTGCGTCGGCTGCGGTCCACCCGAAACGGGGGGAGTCGGATGACAAGGTGAAGGGGAACTCTATTTTCATTTGGACAAGTCTACTCGGTGTACCTTCCCCACTCAAGGCGCAGTGAAATGGAGTCAAAAAGCAACAAATCATGTATGGGGCGTACACGATTATTGCGACATGGGTTATTTTTAGATGTAATTCAAGTGTGCAGTGAACGAAACACCAAGGGAACCGTTGCAAACCTTTTGGAGTCTTGCACGCTTATTACAACGTCTCTCATAATGAGCGCAGTGTCGACACCTTTGATCCGATCACTGCTTTTCACCAATCAAAAGCCTTTGCAATCAAAATTGCATGTGGAAGTCAAACACAATTTCCACTTTGAAAATTTGGAACTTATTTCTTCTAGTGATGCAGAAGATCATGGCACCTTTTGTGAGATAGAGCCGCTCGGCGAGATATATGTATTAGAGTATTCAAGCCTTCGAGGCTTCTTGTTTTGAAAATTAAAAGGACAAGAACAGCAAACCCACTGCTTGGTATTACTGACACGCCGCCTCGGCTTCTTCATCCGTAAATAACACAAAGCTAATCGTTTTGTTAGTAAGGACTACTAAATGTCATGTTAAGTACCATGCCAGTTAAACGAACAGCGTGTATGTTTGTAATATCGGGCGACCGTTTCCGAATCGTGTACTTATAGACTCACAAAGTTTCCTTTATAGATCATTTCTACAAGAAGCTATAATCATATTTATCGAGTACACTACTATATGGCATATAACCTCATGTAGCCCTTCATAAAAGAAACCAAGCAAAACGGTCTATGCCGTACATTCGGTCTATACAGCCTACGGGTTAGCACGTGCCCGGGCACTGGTGAATTCTCATATTCCCGACTACACATCCGTGCTATAATTGATATGTCTGACATAAAGGCTAAACTTCAAACATTAATAGACAATGCAGTTAAAGACGGTGTAGCACCTGGCCTACAATGCGTTGTTTTTAATCGGGACGAGATCATATTCAACGGTGTTTCAGGATTTGCATCTCTACCATCTGAGAAGAATCCCGCAGGAGAACCAATGACAAAGTCGTCTGTTCTCTGGCTTGCCAGCTGTTCAAGACTCGTCGTCTCGTTAATCGTTTTGCATGTATTGGATAAAGGACTGATCGATGGAATATCAATTGGAGATTTGGATAACCCCGATGCGCTAGCGAAAATTGTCCCCGAATTTTCACCAGAATCAGGATCGCTGGTTACAAAAATTATCGAAGGTTTCGAGAATGGACTGGGTCCGGATGGGAGGAAAATCATAAAGCTACGAGATGCAAAGAATAGAGTTACTCTCAGACAACTCTTGACACATTCTTCTGGTGTGGGGTTTACCCTTACTAATCCTCTTTTGTGGGAGCTGGTGAGTCT